TATATATATATATATATATATATATATATATATATATGTATGTGTATGTTGTTTTTTTTTCAGTAAGCTTATTTTAATTCAATAATTTTAGTTAAACAATTTACACGTATTGTGTCAATTTATTTTAGCTTTTATTCTTTCAATTCCACAAATTCATTTCTTGCTGGCTGTAGAAAATTTGTCAAGAAAAATGCCAGAAATTTCTTTCAACTAATTTTTATTTTCCTAAGTACTTTCAATCGCATTTGCGACAAAACTTCAGAGGGTTAAAATATCTGTGGATATGTAAGCAGTAGCTCCATGAATTAAAAATTACTTTTTTTTCCGTGCAATAATAATAATAATAATAATATTTTGAATAATTTTTACACACATAAAAATATCATTATCAGCTGGAATAAAAATATTTTATTTACGAAGGTGGGGTGAAATGTTCAGATGTTCATTGTTTCTTTCTCGATAAAGACTGTTCAAAGAAGACAGTTCATTCTGTTCATCAAAGTCATTAACAGAATATAAAACATCATTAGCATTGCGATTCTGGTTCCCACTGAAGTTTGTCATTCATGTTGGGAAACAGATGATAGACAAATCAGGAGAATAGGGAGATTGGTCAACCAGTTCACAACGACACTCACGCATTCATGATATCATCATTCCCACATAGGCAAGCTTTTAGCGCTCTATTTTTTATACTTAGCTTTCACCTTTGCGTTTACGATGCTTTGTGGAAAATATATTAAAAAAAAATAAAACAACACTGTTGAGAGTGAGATTCAATTTTATAAGAAAGGTATTTAATCAATTTATAGTTACATTTCTTCTGAAATTTTATCAGAAATGTGCATAAAAGACTATAATTTTATGAAAATTTATTATATTTTACAGTGTTATTTTTATTTCCATTCATGTTATTATATATTTTGATATTTCATTTATGGAAAAATGTCATAACTGAGATTAGTATAAAAAATAAGATCATATAAATGATCCTAATGCTTGTGGGTATCCTTCGAAGTTGAAATTAGAAAATAAAATTCTTCGCACGTTTTTCGCAAAAATAAATGCCTTAAGAGCGGAGAACAATCATTAACTCAAATAACGCGCCTTAATTATATTCTTGCTGGTCTTACGTACTTTATAATTACAGCTGTTTTATGAACACAAAATAATATTTCTTAATTGCTGCGGGTCTTATTTGTCAAAGCGATACAATTTACAATGCGGTAAAAAAGATGTATGTCATTAGGATATTTACGAAACTGAATGCGGCTTCCAATTAATTTTAAAATATTTTAACAACTTAAATGTAAAAATCTAAAATAATTAAAAAAATAACAAATAAATTTATTAAAAATTCATTTTTTAACGGAAAAATGTTTTGCTTTCAGAAAATATATTCCATATTCAAAAAACAACTACAAGCAAAAAAAAACAAAAAACATTAGAAATTAAATAACATCTTTGTTTTATTGTGTTTTGTATGTTTTCAGGTAGGGAAGATCCAAAAATATATATATATATATATATATATATATATATATATATATATATATATATATATATATATACATGATTTGCTTTCCCCAAAGCCTAGAGCTTTTAACTCATATAATCACTAAACTTCACATGCCGAAGAGAATTGACAAGTCAACTCATTGAATGACTAAGAAAGAAATGATGAAATTTCGACGATACAAAAAGAATTGAACTATGGTGGCGAGCTTTAGTGACTAATACATTGAAAAGTAAAATTTATCGAGTTAAAGTTTTCAGTCATTGCCTACGCTGACCACGCAAGAACAGTTGTAAGTTACATGCAGGATTGGATTATAATTCTTTGCAGGTTAAAGCTATTCTGATATATATATATATATATATATATATATATATATATATATATATATATATATATATATATATATATGTGTGTGTGTGTGTGTGTGTGTGTGTGTACATTATGTCACCTTCGTTTTTCTGTTTGGATTGACCACTTATTACTTATGAGTGTGCTTGCGTCTACGTAACTATAATATATATATATATATATATATATATATATATATATATATATATATATATATATATATATATATATATTATGATTGAATCATTCATACAAAATAAGCTAAAAATGACCTTATGAAACTGGGATTTATAAACAGGGATCATATCATGCATAAACAGGTTCAGGGTTAGTGTATCTTATTGAAATTTTTTTTTGCGAAGATGTATTCTCGCCATTTAAATCATTAACCTCTATATTTGTTTTTGTATGAATGATTCATGTAATTATAAATTAAACTGCACCTATAATCGAAACTAATATATATATATATATATATATATATATATATATATATATATATATATATATATATATATATAACAGAGCAGATAACAGAAAGATTTTAGAGTCCCCATGAAAATAAGTGGATACAACGTCTAAAAACGAAATATCCAGCCGGGCTAAACCATAAATTTAACAATACAGATAGTA